CCATGGCCCCCACCCTGCTCACCGCGCCCCCAGCGCGTCCAGACGCTGTAGCTCCGCGGCCCATCATCCTCCAGGAGCTGTAGGACGTAGAACTTGTTGTTGTTGAACTGGAGGTTGGTCTGCGGGACGGATGGACAGACGGGGGGCTGGGCGCCAGGGACAGGGTTGGGGGGTCTCTGCCCGCAGCAGCCCCACTTCCCCCAGCTCCTGAGCGGGTGGCTCTCCCGGCCAGGAGTGCCACAGCGCCACACTCACCTGGTTGAGCATCACGTCGTAGACGTCGTCCCCTTCACAGTAAATGTGGGCCTGGGGGGAAATGGGCACTTCCTGAGCCGCAGCCGGCCCTGGGAAGGGATGGGATGTGAGGAAGTCCCCTCTAGGGGCATTGGCCCCAATCCCACCCCAGTGGGGACTGGCTGTCTCAGGGATGTGGGCCTTTTCCCCTCTAGGGGGCGCTGGCCCCAATCCCGCCCCAGGGCAGGCATTGGCTGGTTCAGGGGGGTGGGGACTGGAGACCCCCGGGGCAGGAGGTCTTGTGTTACCTTCCCCAGTTTAGCCAAGCACTCGGGATCCACCGGCGCCTTCCCCTTCACAATCAGGGTCTTGATGACCTCTGGGGGTGACAGACAGAAATGGGGGTGGGGAGAGGATTTAAGAGATATCAGTGCAGGGATCCTAGGGACCTGAGCCAAGGTAGGGCCTGGTGCTCGAGGAACAACAGAGCTCCAGCCACGCCACGGGCCCCTTCTCAGGCAGCCACGAGGAGCCAGCAGCGTCCAAGGCCGACGTCACGCACTCCTAGCGCAGGATAGGGAAGGCGCTTATAAATCACACCCGTTTCCAAATCAGCTTGGCTGCCTAACTCGCAGCCCCGAGTCGCAAAAGAGCTGGCTGAGATTATCTCTGACCTGCTGGCATTCATCTGAAATCAACCCCGGGATAGAGGGAACATTTCTGAAGAGCGGATGAGTGCGGCGCAAGTGTGTAGCTTTAGGCCAGTTAGCCTGACGAAAAGCCCGGGAAGAACAACACAAAAGCTGACGCGAGATTCAAGCAATCCCAGGTTAAAGCACAGGAACTTCAGCAAGGCCAGGCAGGCTTCACGGAAAACAAACAAAGCTGATCTCATCTGTTGGTGACGTTATGGGTTTCGTTGATACAGGGAACTTTATATGCTGTGCCACTTGGCACCGTGTGACCCGACTGAAAACCGAGTGCTGTGGGCTAGTGACAAAGTGCCTGACACACGGATTAAAAACTGGCTAACTGATAGATCCCCACACATCGTCGCCGCTGGGGAATCGTTGTAGCCAGGATGTTTTTGTCGGCGACGCCGGCTGGCGGAGGCGGAAGTGATGCCAAGGTGGCGCCTGGCACCCTGGATCGCTCGGCGGCTGCACAGAATAAGGCTGAGCACGAGCCAATGTGAAGTGACTCCTCTAGGAGCAGCAAGGCGGGTGGTGTGGTGGGGAGGGGCAGCTAGGATTCCTGGGCACACCTTTTAGATCAGAGGTGGGCAAACTATGGCCCGCGGGCCACATCTGGCCCACGGGACCGTCCTGCCTGGCCCCCGAGCTCCTGGCCCGGGGAGGCTAGCCTCC